GTTTGTACGAAAATGTAACTATGGATAGTTGCTGTATGTAATTGCGATACGATCTGCTTTTTAAATTGTAATAATGCAGTTGTTGTTGATGAGGACGATGTTGTTGATAGGCAAATTTCCGACTGAATGAAATAATTGCAAACACTTCACAACTTTATTATTCTCACCTTCAATTAGCAACCACGCAACAACAAATTTCAATACAAAGACACAAAGACAAAGATTAAACACACAAACATCTATCTATAGGCTGTTCAGTGATGGCACGATAAGCTGGGGACGAATAACGATTCTTTTCCTTTTCGGTTACAGAATCGCCATATCGGTTCTCCGCACCGGCTTCAGTCAGATGATTGAGAAGTTCGTGGCGTGTCTGGTCGAAGTGATCATTCGTGAAAAGATAACTACGTGGATTGCACAACAGGGCGGATGGGTTAGCGCTTCTGTTTATATCACTCATTATTTCTACCCGTGGTGGCTCAGTAGTTAGAGCTCCTTGCTCTGGTGTTGCGGTGACCTTGTTCAAACGCTAAAAGGTTCCTGTCTATCATATTTCGCGGTGTATGGAGCGCTATGTTGTTTATGTGCGTTTACGTTGGTATGGGGAACGATGGTGAAGATTGATGATTGGAGGCACTAGAAAAATCATCAATGATTGGTTGATGGATTTGATTATTGGTAGCGTTTATTTTTCTTAAAGTTTGTTTCCGGTACATCTTTCGCAGATAATTGGGTTATTTCTTGATTTTTGTTTTTGATAAGTTAGTTAATAATGGACATAACTTTAATAATTCGTCCGCGAATCTGTTAACGACGATCATGGCGTAATAATGACGTCCTATCATTGCTCTGTTGAAGTTATTATTATTATTATTATTATTATTATTATTATCATCATCATCATCATCACCATCATCATTGTTATTATTATTATAATTACCGCTAATATTATCATTCTTGTTTTTTTACGCTTTTCCTATTATTATTATTATTATTTATTATTATTATTCATTATTATTGTTGTTATTATTATTGACATTATTATAGTGCATTATTATGCATGCATAATGCGATGGCTTTCCTATTCAATCCAGGGCCCTTAATAACAAGCAGCTGATGATGATGATGATGACGTTGATGGTGATGACGATCATGATGATGTTGATGAAAAAGATGATGATGATGACGATCATGGTGATGGTAATGATGATGATGACAATAATGATGACGACGATGATGACAATGATGCTATAAATAAATAAATGATTCAGTTAATCTAACGAAATATACGTATTTGTATTAGGCATTCTAATTTATTTGTTATTATTATTATTAACAATATATTATCATATTATTATTATTATTATTTATTATTATTATTATTACTTC